TAGTATATCTTACTATCTACTCATACTCGGACAATATTTTATACACATAACGTACTCTCGTCGTGGCTTATACTCACCTTTTAGGGTAGATCACAGCTTACTGATAAAGTACAGTACCAAAAGGTACAATTATCACGACTTAACCACAGTGAGAGCCAACTACTGGTTCCTGACGTTCAATCCTCACGTATTGCAAACCAGCTATAAATCTACAGGTGCAGAAGGGCTACAGGATCCAGGTGCAGAGCAGAAGGCACTCTGGGGAGCAAATGGGTAGGAAAGCTTGTGGCGTTGGGGCATAGCACCTTGCCAGCAGTGGGGTCACACACCTGCCTGGCACTTCTGCCCAATCAGAGAGCAGGGAGCCACCAGGCACTGCGGAGGGCCCCCGGAAGTGACGCCTTCTCCTCCCACCCTCACTGGACCTGGAGCCCCTGCCTGGACCATGGTCTATTATCACAGCCCGGCTCCTCCACCCACACACACCACCGGGAGGCTCTGTCTTTTCCTAGGAAATGGCAACCTGGGACCTGGCTGGAGAGGAGATGGGAGGGGAACAGGTTTTTTTTTTCAGGAGGAATCCAGCAGGACATTTTTGTTTTCAGTTCCTGGCTGGCCCAAATTTCTTTTCCCTAGATACCACACCTGCTGCTGAAATCCAATAAGGCTCCTGCTTCCCTGCTTCTCGCTCCTATAGCCCCTAGGGCCGTGGTGGGCAAACTGCGGCTCGCGAGCCACATGCGGCTCTTTGGCCCCTTGAGTGTGGCTCTTCCTAAGCCTTAGGAGTACCCTAATTAAGTTAATAACCATGTACCTACCTATATAGTTTAAGTTTAAAAAATTTGGCTCTCAAAAGAAAATTCAATCGTTGTACTGTTGATATTTGGCTCTGTTGACTAATGAGTTTGCCAACCACTAGGGCCTAGGGCAGTGGTTCTCAACCTTCCTAATGCCGCAATCCTTTAATACAGTTCCTCATGTTGTGGTGACCCCCAATTTCATTGTTACAAATTGAACATAATTAAAGCATAGTGATTAATCACAAAAACAATATGTAATTATATATGTGTTTTCCGATGGTCTTAGGCGACCCCTGTGAAAGGGTCGTTCGACCCCCAAAGGGGTCGCGACCCACAGGTTGAGAACCGCTGCCCTAGGGGGTAGTGTCTTATACCCGCTTTCTGAGTGGGAACATGGGTATTGCCTGTATTAGAGAATGATGCTGTCAGAGGTCAGTGTTGTGGGGAAAGGGTCTGGGCAGTTTGAAAGGACTGCACAGGGAGGGCGCGTGTGCTGGGCTCAGGTGCTCCTCTGCTGGGGCCCACTGGCTCAGACAGCTAAGCTCACTTCTCTCTGCCAGTGTACGCCTTTGCTTGCCGGGTCTTTCTCCCTCTTCCATCTCCTACCATTCCACATGTGACAAGAGGAATAACCAGGCCCATGTGTCCCAGTCTTAGAAAGACAGCTGCTACCCCCCCCCATACCTCCTGCTGGCCTAGCCCCCCTCTTCCTTTGGCCCTGCCTCTGGTTCCTTTGCTTTCCTCTCAATCCCAAGCTCCCCACAGCCTCTGTCCTCAGGGCCTCCTGGCCTGACCTTGTTCCCATCCCCCCTCCCACCCCCCAGTTCTTCTTCAGGCTCTCTCCTGCTCCTCCTCCCCAGGCAGGATGGGGCTGTCTGCTAAGGAGTATGGCCTAGATCCCGGAATTCTCCATTTCAACCAGATGAGATGCCTCCCAAGATTAAGAAGGAGGATGGCTGGGTGGGTGGGTGGGTGGGAGGGGACAGGGAGGCAGTCATGACCAGGAAACCAACCAAGACAGAGGAGTTTGAGGTGAGTGGAGAGGCTGAGGGTCCCCTGGGTGAAGGAAGAGGGTGAGAAAGCATGTCAGGTGGGGACGATGACGGGTGGATGAGCTTGAGGACAGGTTACACAGCAGGGAGGGAAACTGTCACCAGGCGGAAAGGACACAGTCTCTTTCTGGCTAAGCTCCTGTCCTGGTGAACAGTAGAATGAGGAGAGACCTCAGGCAAGAGGTGGGGACACAGGCCAGGCAGTGAAAGTGGGTGGGTGGGGTTTGAGATGTGAGCCCAGAGCCAGGGGAGAGCAGTTGACAGGCCTCTCCTGCATGCTGTCACCCTTGAAGACAAGTCTTCATCCTTCCCGAAGGAACCGAATCCCAGCGCGGTGGCCGGCCCAGGCCTCAGGCCTAGCCGTTGCCCCTCCCTGGCCTGGGGTTCTCATCCAGGGCGGGACACGCACCTCCTGCTGGGTCCAGCCACCCTGGGCCACCGGCAGTGGAGGGGGCTGGGGGGCGCTCCAGACCTGCCTCTCCTCCCCTCTTCGCGCCCCCTGGTCCCTCCCCTCCCCTCCCCCTCCGCTCCCCCTGGCCCTCCGGCCCCTCCCTCCTCCCCTGCCCCGGTCCCAGCCCCCTCCCTCCCCTCCCCCACTCGCGATCCGGGCCGCGGCGGCTGGGCCGGACCCCCCCGGGCTCAGCCCGGCCCCTCGCCGAGCCACCGCCGCCGCCGCCCCGTTTGCAGAGGAGGAGGCCCCCGGCCGGGGTGCGGAGCACGGGGCATAAAACGGGCCAGCGCGGCGCCCAGGGCACTAGAGCAGCGGACCGCAGGGTCAGAGCCGACCGCTCGCGCTCCTGGCCTCTCCCTCGCCTGGCCCGGCGCCGACTCCGCGGCCGCCCGACGAGCCCCTCGCAATGCCGGGGCCCTGGCCCCGGCCCCTCCGCCGCACCGCCCCCGGCCCGGCCCTCCTCCCGCCTCCCTCCTCCCTCTCCTGCCCGCTCCTCCTACCGACTCCCCAGCTGTCCGGTTCGCGTCAT